TTTATTTTATTTTATTTTATTAATTACGAATTTTTCATTTAAAGGTATGAAATTTTTTTTTCGATTGACTTAATATTTTTTAATTTAAAGAAAATAACTGACGGAATAAGGATAAATAAATTTTTTCTGATTTAAAAAATTGGGTTTCCCAGTGACGCAAAAAAATCGAAGATCATTTTTTGATAATTCTATAGTTTAGTACTGGTTTTTATTCTGATGTAAAATATTTGGATTTAAAATAATTAGATAGCGGTAAGAAAACTAAGCTTTATACAAAACTGGAACTCAATCGGATGTTAACTGTTTGAGATAGCCTATTTAAGTGCTTGGAGGACAGACAATTTTGTCTTATACAAAAAATAGACACTCATAGACATGTGTAGTAATATTTTGTGCTCTGGTAAAAATATAAGGCAATCTTGAAAAGAGCTTGTGTCTAATACAAATTGGAATAAGGTCGAGTTTACTCATCAATAAATGAAATTTCAAACTCACCCAGTACTGGCAAAATTAGTCCACATTTCTGTCATTTCTTTCATTTTTCTATAATCTATTGTCCCTTCTTGTAATGGATGAATACCTAGTACTTCATAGAATTTAATATTGAACAAATATGGCAGCTCATCAAAATGGGATGCACCTATTGTTTAATACAACATTTGTTTTACATATACGAAAAACTAATTTGATAATATTATAAAGTGAGTTCTATGTTTATTGTGAATTAATAAATGTGATTCCTGCATATCGTTAACTAAATGTAAAATTTTGTAAATTTAATTATTTTGTTTGATAAAGATTAAACAAGCAATAATTTTTAATTGTTGAGTGGTTTGAATCTCATCATAATATTACAAACTTATGCATCGTACACTCACCAGAAATAGATGTATTGATGATAAGCTTCGTGAAGGAAATACCTTCATCGTACGTAAATTTGTACAAATAAACAGGTGCGACATTTTTCAAAACTTGTAGTTTGACCATCCTATGAAATGCTTCAGCAACGTACATATCTCCCAAAAAATCAGCAAATTTTTCTGCATAATTATCTTCCGTTAATTCTAGACAATCGTACATAGCCCTTAACTTATTTGGTGTCAAGCCGTATACTTGACATAAATCTTTCAGATGAGGGTGAATATATTTTTCGAAATTATCATTCAGCTCTTGCATGCGATGGTTTTGCAAAGCTAAAAGTTAATTGATATTTATTTCAGTACTATTTTCTTGCGTTTTAAAATACTCTACTTACTAGCTAGGGCATATATTCCTTCTCGATTATTATGTCCTAAAAGGTAAGGCACATCCATCCCACTTTTAGCAGCTATATGTACAGGTATTGGCATAAATGGATTCGATGATTTTTCATCTACACCTGGACCAAATGGATATAATAGCTGCAATCTTTCCTATAATTAAAACATCATTTAGCAGATGTAAAATCATAGAAAATAAAAATTTTGGTTGCATGAGCGTCGGAAAAAAGTTTTTTTTTCAATTTATGCTTTGTTTCTAGAATCATATGTTCGGATTTATGTAAAATCTAAATGATAAAAAACGTATTTTTAAATGACAATCAAAGTTACATACACAGAATTAAATAATTTGAGTATTACCTCTGGTGTTCGTATTTTTTCTTGTGCTTTGGATAATTCTAAAGCATCCAGTGATCGTAAGAATTCAACTATTTCCTTTGGACTGTTGATGTCTTTGCCTAAATACTTGCATAAAACATAAGCGTACTGTTTGGGTGTCGGAGTGGATGCCCATGTGTTTAATGCAACACCACTTTGAGATATAGCTTTGTGAAATAGACCTAAAATTATTAAAAATTGAAAGAAGACATAATTTTTAGAGATAGTATTAATTATTTTAATTAATTTTTGTTACCACATGACCTTTAGCCATGCGTGATAATCCTAAGTAGTTTACACTAGCACCACCAGCACTTTCTCCAAAAATTGTCACATTGTCTGGATCGCCTCCAAACTGTTTAATGTTAGCTTTTATCCATTTTAAAGCCATAACTTGATCTTTAAGTCCCTGATTTCCTGGTGCTTCTTCATCTTCCAAATTCAAAAACCCTTGAATAATTCAATTTACGAAATGTCATTAATAAACGGCAACAATTTTTAATTCTATTTAATTTACTTTTCAATTATACTCAATATACTTTGTACTCACCAAAAACTCCAAGTCTATAATTAATTGTTACTAACACAATGTCTTTTCGAAGCAAGTAATCAGGACCATAAAAAGTATCATCACCACTACCAAACGTGTATGCGCCCCCGTGTATCCACATCATGGTAGGAACTAGATTTTTAGATTTCATATACTTGGTGTAAACGTTCAAATATAAGCAGTCATCGCAACCCAAGTATGTCCTCGCAATCTGGTCGTATTGAGCACAGGGAGATCCAAAGTTAGTTGCGTCTCTCATACCTTTCCATGGTTCAGGTGGCTGGGGATCCTGTGAAAATTTTTTAAAATGTCATTTTCAAATTTTTTGAATTTTTTCTGTATTAATCAACCATCTCAACAGGCGCGTATGCTTTTTTTTATCTTATCTCATAATTTATGGATATTATGGCTTATCCCGTCAGTATGATGCCAAGTCACTTCGTATACATCGTTTAAGCAAACAAATAATTGATTTTAAGAATCTGAGGTTATGTCTTTGATTTTAAATGTTTAAAAAAAACACATTATCCGCACTCGGGTGGTTTTGGGAGGCTGGTACTTCCTCGGGCGAAAAAGTAGTTTTCCGGAACTCGTTCGAAAAGTCTCCTTTACGAACCTCGTTACGGCCCTCGCCTTCGGCTCGGGCCGCAAACCTCTCGGTTCGCAAACAAAGACTTTTCAAACTCGTAGGAAAACTACTATTTCCGCCCTCGGGTGGTTTTGGGAGGCTGGTACTTCCTCGGGCGAAAAAGCAGTTTTCCGGAACTCGTTCGAAAAGTCTCCTTTACGAACCTCGTTACGGACCTCGCCTTCGGCTCGGGCCGCAAACCTCTCGGTTCGCAAACAGAGACTTTTCAAACTCGTAGGGAAACTACCATTATTGCATACCTGAAATCTGAGTTGTCCAACTGGTGGTTTTGCGTAAGGTATTCCCTTAAATGCATAATATTCGTAACCCACGATACTTTTTTCTCGTAGGCCACGTAAATGGCCACAGTTGGTTTTTGCGATCGGTTTTCTCATTTCTTTCGAGTGTTACTAACATACTGAAGTCACGATCTCAATGCTGACGTCGAAAGCCTTGGAGTTAATGTTATTCTTTCGATTCATTTGGTTTTTGGCCGCTCAAAGGTGATTGAAATTCAGTATGCAGTTGGCATTTGTATTCTTAATGACTTTCTTTACGTAAAAGTTTTTGTGGGCATTTTAGATTTTATATTCTCAGACTAACGGACATTGTTTGCAACAAATAAATATCATACATAATTATTATCAATTATTAGATAAGTTTGTTTTACTAAATTTTCTTTGCACTATGTACTTGATGGTAATGTTATCAATATAATAACTTTATATCTATAAGTTTTTAAGGTATATATTTTAGGGTAGTTGTTTGAAATAACCTTTACAGAATTAATACACATTTTTTTCTATATCTTTATTTTTGATACTGTCAATATTTCAAGTAATACTTAATGTTGTACTCTACGTATACGTGTGTGCGTGATGTGTATGAGCATATATATTTTGTAAAATACAATAGTAAAAGATTTTGTACAAAATATACAGAAAAAAATACTCTTTTGTCTATAAGCAGTACCACGATATAATATACCTAACCAACATAATACTAAGATTGACTCAACGTAATTTATGACGTATATAGCTACCCGTATTGAGTGGACACTGGACAGTAGGGGGGTGGACTTGTAACATGAGGGTAAACTTTCTCGATCTCTAATATGTCATTAAATATGAAAATGTTATGAAGAAAAAACTAAAAAGTAGCACACAATAACCAATAGAATTAAAAAACGAATGTTTATAGCTTGTTTTTCATGTATTTTCCTAAAGATAACTGTTCCTCCAGCGGGACGATGTATTCCATCCGTAAATTTTCATTTATATTTAGAGCTCGAAAAATTTTATCATCTGTTACTGGCAGCCAATACGTTGGTATCAGATCAGATACTTCAGGAGTTGGTCTTCTATAGATTTTGTGGAAAAAGTCATCAACATAAGTGATTGAGTTACACGACATTTTCAAACTACTTTTGAGAATATTTTATGGTTCTTCGACTTACCCATACTTAGCAAAGTTTACCCACAATTCAATCATTTGTTCAATTATCTTATACGAAATGGATCCCGGTTTTGGACGTTCAATGTTCAAAATATCGTATATCTGCATGCTAAAGAGGTATTGTACCTCATCGAAGTGAGACGTACCTGATAAGAGGAATCTAATAAATACAATTTTCACTTTTCAAACATAATTTTACTTTATTATTGTACGTATGTTTTTTTACTGACCCGACATAGTAGTATCACTCCATAACTTTATTATGGAAGATTCTTTGTCGTAAGTAAATCGGTAGAAGTATGTTGGAGCAGAATTATACTTGACTTGACACTTCACTATTCTATGAATACCTTCAACAAAACTTAAATCACCCATTAAATCGACTACTTTGTCAGTATCTTTTTCAGTTATATATTTGTGGTCAAAGTATAAATTTTTCAATTGATTTGGCGTAATATTGTTTTTTCGTAATAGTTCTTGAACACGAGGTCCTAAGGATTTGTCAAACTCGTTATTCAACGTGTCATAATCTTTTTGTTTTAGTCCTTCTGCAAAACATTGTGTAGAAATATTAATTATCAAATAGTGTTTTTCGATTATATTTGTTCGGTTATATTTGTGCATTACTTCAGCCGTGGATTTCAGACGTACCAAGTAAATGAAATATTCCTTCTCGACTGTTACAACCTAACATGTATGGGACATGGGCACCACTTTCCATAGCTTCTGATACAGGTATTGATAAAAATGGTTCTATGGACTTACTGTCAACTGTAGGTCCAAACGGAATAATATCGTGAAATTTCGGCTAAAATATGGTTATTGAAAAATAAAATTTCTTATTAGCATAATAAACTTAGTGTAGGTTACTTTTGAACGCAAGTGGTAGACACGTACACATGATTTATGAATCACCTGTTGAGCTTCTACTAATTTCTGACAGTCAATGGTTCGTAAGAATTCTACTAATACTTTTGGATCTTTTGAATTGTTACCTAGTACTTCACACAATTTATATGAACTATATTTTGTGGCTGAGCAAGCCCATGAGTTGCAGGCAACGCCACTTTGTGAAATGGCTTTGTGAAAAAGACCTTGAATCATTTTTAAATACGTACTGTTATTAGTAAATCATCCACGTGGACACAAATTTTTTATAAAAACGTATTTTCCATTTTTGAATTTGTCTTTAAGCAACATAAATATTTATTACTGTACCTTTTGCTAAAGGAGATAATGTTAAATAATGCACGGATGCGCCACCTGCGGATTCACCGAAAATTGTCACATTGTTTGGGTCACCACTAAAATTCGTAATATTTTCTTTTACCCATCGTAGAGCAGCCACTTGATCTTTCAGACCTTGATTTCCAGGTGCTACTTCATCATCAAAATTCAAAAATCCTATATGTAAAACAATGTTTCATTAACTGTTGTCCAGAATAAATCAGTTTGGTATTATTTAATATAAATAAAAACATCTATATACCCAACACTCCAAGTCTATAGTTGATCGTCACAAGGACAATATCTTTCTTGAGAAAATAATCCGGTCCATACAGAAGACCACCTCCAGAACCCACGACAAAGCCTCCACCATGTATCCATACCATAACAGGTAATTTAAGGTCAGGTTTGATAGTTTTCACAAAAATGTTTAAATATAAACAGTCATCTTCGCCCCTAGTACTTTGAGACATGGAATCCATTTGGCAACACTGAGGACCATAATCTGTAGCATCCCTTACTCCTGACCATAGTTCCAGGGGAACTGGATCCTGTCCTTATTTATATTGAATTAATAACAAATACACCATACAATATTTCATGAGTACATTTTTTCATGAGACTAATTAAAGTTAGTCTTATTAAGTCTTAATTAATTAACTAAATAACTAAAAATCGTCAAAAAATTACAAAGTATTATAACACAGTATGATTTTAATTTACCAAGTACCAAATTATAAAATAATGAAAAAATTTACGTGTAGTACGTTAAAACAATTATTTTAACTTTATCATCTTACTTTATTGCTGTATTATATAAAACACATAACTCAGTGTCATACTTATGTCACAATCGTAATTCATCATGTTTACGCATTTTTACGATATTAAATGATTGTTGCTGATTTATTTAAAATGAAAATAATAATTACGTAAAATCTGTAATCAACCATAGCTATTATAGCTCTATAAAAATTATAAATTAAAATGATACAACTAATTTTTGATATTCTTCTAAATAATATTATATTGTTCAAAGTGTAAACAGATAAAAAAAATAAAAATAAAAAAAAATTTAGTTGAAAGTAAAACACCAATAGTAAAATCAACGAAAACTTCCTAAAAAAACTGTGAAATTATTGGATTTAAATAAAACTTTTGTTTTCAAATGCTTTAAAAAGTGGCGGGAACGTAAGGTTTGTTACCGTAAGGAAATGTACTACTCAAAGTGAAACAAACCTAGTGCTTACGACTTGACTACGACTCTTTCCTCTCATGCTAGAAAAATATAGGCTATACTCTTCCTGAATCAAATGTATTAAAATAATACGATGTACTTACAATGCTACTGTACTCACCATAAATCTAAGTTGCCCTATCGGTGGTTTAGCATATGGTATTCCTTTGTATGCATAGTAATTGTAACCCTCAAAGCTGCGTTCCAAAACCCCCTTGAGTTTTCCATATTTTGTGTCAACGAATACAGCTTCTCCCATGTTTTTGAGCGATAGCAGACTTGTTACTCGGTAATCGCCAGTTCTATACTGACTGCTGAAGAGATTGTAACGCTTTTTATCATCCGTTATGTGCCCACTTAGGTTCGGAAGTTTTATATGACGCAACAGTTGTTTGATAATTTTTTTTTGTGCATGTTACCGTGTTTTATCATAATTACGTATATAAGGCACTGGTATTGACATATTTTGAATATCATCATTTTATTAAGTGTCGTTGTTGAAATATTACGCAGAAACACTAAAAATTTTTCTAGCCTTTTAGACGAAACTAGTATATATATCTTCACTAAATAAATACACTCTTAAAGTTTCAACTGCTCCATTATGTTATTCATTATTTTACCCACTAATTTTTTTTACTACTTTTAACTATACTTGCGTACTTGTGGTGCATAAATACTGATAGGAGAAGTAATAAAAATTTTTTTCAGTTATATATTTGTGGTCAAAGTATAAATTTTTCAATTGATTTGGCGTAATATTGTTTTTTCGTAATAGTTCTTGAACACGAGGTTTAATTAATTTTTGTTACCACATGACCTTTAGCCATGCGTGATAATCCTAAGTAGTTTACACTAGCACCACCAGCACTTTCTCCAAAAATTGTCNATGTATTTTTATGTATAAATCACGTGATACTTTTTGTTATTTAATGAAGCCATATTTTTAATTTTTACAAACCTGGTATAGAAAATTATTTTAGAGGCCCAGTTCAAATTTCAGATAATTCAATGCATTACTTTTTGAAAAAAGTTAAATTTCAGATTATGCACACTGACACTCTCTTTCATGAGCAGAAAATGTAACTTTTCTCTCTCAATTTGCAACGGATTGCATTGAATTTCGGCTCGATTGATTCCTCAAAGTGCCAGCTAGGGGGCTCTCCTTCTTATTTTGGATCGAAATAGCTAGATAATTAGTTATTAACCATAATTTCTCACAATAGAGAAGTTGTTAAAGTAGAAACTCCAGCCAATATACTGAGTGCCCTTAGTTTTTGAAACAAATTTCCAGCATTATATTTCTATTCACTATTAATTTATTTTTACCTAGTAATTTCGTATACCTTGAAATGATAGTCACGCATAACACGATTGTCACTTATGCTAAACTTATTCTCTATAGGTACTTATAACAGATTATAGTTTTTCATCTATGTTTTCTTTTATTACCATCTCTAATTTAATATTTACGTTTATGTAACATACGAAATATACGCGATGATTCGAAAATCAAAATAAATTATATGGTATAGTTTAAATAACGTCATTTATTTATACATGAACAGTTGACGAGCATAGACCTTGACTTTTTTATCTGACCACATTATTGCAGTTTATACAAGCATCGATTAAAACAGATCTTTTAGAAAAGTGATTTGTTAATAAACACCCTTAACCTATTAGTTACTATTTTAGAATTCACACCTAGGAAGTAAGCGTTTTTTTACATTTGCTTATGGCCCAAGTCAAATTTGAGTAACATTGACATTTGAATTAAAGCAGAAATAATAAACAATTTATTAAGAATTTTTTTTTTTAGAAAATGTAAATTTTTTTTGAAATATTAAGTGCACATATTACTTTTTAGATATCATACTTTTTATAGATGAAAGCTTTTTCTCTATGTTTTCTTCTGTTGCCATCTCTAATTTTGTATCTATATTTAAGTAACGTAAGTTCATTCCATCGTCTAACGGTAGCCATTCCATGGGTAATAGTTCTGAAGTTTTCAGAGTAGGTGTTCTAGAATGTACGAAATCTTTTAGCTGTAAATCCCAGTAATTGGTTTATTAAGTGAACATTCACAACACCTACCCATGTGCAGCAAAATTAGTCCACATCTCTGTCATTTGTTCCATTATTCTGTAACCGGGGGTACCTTTTTTCAACACACAAAAACCATTTTTTATTCTTAACTATCCATAAAATAGATACTCTGTTTCTTCAAAATGTAGGGCACCTGCAATAATGGATAAGCTTATTATACCAAGTGCTTCCAAAAAATTTTCAATACCCGACAAAAATATTTTACTATCGACAGGAAATGGAAATAATGCCTTGCACAAAGATACTTTTTCATTGTAGCAAAATTTATAGGCATAAGTGGGACAAGAGTTTTTGTTAACTTGTGTTTTCATAGCTCTGTGGCATGCTTCTATGATTTTCCAGTCAGCTAACATTTCTGCCAGTTTATGTGTTTGTCCCATGTAAGAAAAATAATCCGACAACATGTAGGTACTCGAAATTTCAGTCTTACAGAAGTATAATACAGTAACTTTAAACACTATCTTAACTACATTAGAAATATTTTTTTATCAACTAATGTAATATTTGGGTATTAAAAAAAATTGAAGACCAAGTATTCGGAATTTGAACAAGCTTTTTTTTGTTCAATTATAATAATTATTAGTAAAAGTGGGAAAATAATTGATGCTAGAATTACTTTGCTTGGAGTGTAGTGAGTTATATATAAATTGAAGGAACGGAAAATTTGTTTGGATTTACGAGACTTTACCTTATTTGATTTATTTTGTTTTCTTACCTGATGGATTTCATACATTATTTTATACAAGACTCAAATATTTATCAAATAAGCACAATAAGTTTATTAGCCCAAGTATTTGTGCTATTTGAAAATTTTATTACTTAAATTACATTAAACATCTTTATAAACAAAACTTACTTTAAATCTTAGATCGCCAATTGGTGGTTTAGCGTAAGGCACGCCTTTAAAGGCGCAATATTCAAATCCCTCAACACTTTGCTGTTTGATATCACGTAGCTGACCATTGCACGTTGACACAACCAAATCCTCTATCACTATCATCTTGACTATGGCAAAGAAGCTTGGAGCACTGAAGTACTGAACCTTTGCACTATTTTTCTATCGAAGCCTGGGAAAGCGGGTATTTATGCGGCTCAGACGACATTTCCGACTATATTTCATGTAATTTTTGAGCTACTTAATGCATCGAGTGTAGTCTTGGTGAATATTTATTAGCACGGTATTGTTAACTGTGTAGATTGGCCGTTCCAATATTTTCTTGTCTCTACGATGTATCGTAAAAAATTTTAGAGGTAACTATAAGATCCAAAAAAATGCTTTGTAATATTTCTTCAGAAAAATATATTACAAGGAGCATTTTTAATTTTTCAAAATGGATGATATTTTTTAAGCGTGTGAATATCGTTTTAAATTTTTTTATTGAAGGTGACAGAACTTAAACATGATATAACAATTTTTACGTCTACGACTAAGCTTTTCTATTCCTATTAAATTTAAATATTCAACAAAAGTAAAAATTAAAAAAGTGGCACATTGAAAACAAAGATAAATTGTAGAAAATCGTGAACTATACTTTGATTGGTATATAAATGAATATGTGTAACATTTGTTTTAATCTTAAATTAGCTTACACGTGTATAAAAATAAGACAAGTTATGTGTCTTTTTATTTCAAAGTTACTGATTTAAAAAAAAAAATTTTTATATTAAAGTGTACTTACTGACATTAGAGAGGTATGTACACCGTCCAAAGTTATTAATTACGTGTTTTTATAATAATGTACAACTAAACTTATATACATCAATGGATGGTAGAGAAACACAGTTAAATAGTGTTAATCATGAGACATCTTTATTTCTAATTAGACTTTTCATTAGATTTGGATTGTCATAATTTTATTATTTACGATAAAGTCACAAATACATTCAGTCACTGTTAGGTAAACAACATAAGTCAAAAATAGTATCTATTTCAGTAATTATTGTACTTAAAAAACAAAAACAATTTTTTTTCCAAGCCATCCTTATTTACTTATAGTTTTGTACGATGTACTCGAAATAAGGACTACCAGATTTTGAGAATTCGACGGAAATAATGACCAAGTTAACGTTTTCATTCGCAGATCGAAACACGCTAACTTCTCATCCCATTAGAACAAGGAGCGCATCACCCCGTACTTATCCAACTTTTAATAGAAGCCTTCTTGGCACGACTACAAGACTGAATGGATGTTTGCAGCTACAGTGTGATATACGTGGTTCTCCAAGTCCAAGCACAACGTGGTTCAGGTTTGGCATCAAAATCACACTTGTTATAAGAGTTTAAGTTAATATAACAAATATTACGTCATTTAGATGTGTTTTATAACTTTTAAACCATAAATGATTATTCAGAAATGGAACGAGGCTAGAACGATCGCCCAGAATAAAAAGAAGCTTCATCGGCGAAAGAGCTACTCTTGAAATATCTGGAGTCACGTCTAACGATGCTGGTGAATACATTTGTGAGGCGAAGAACTTGCTTGGAACAACAAGAAGCAGTTGCAAGGTATAATTTTTCAGATTAGTTATTCAATTTTTACTCAGAAAATGGGATTTTACGAGTTTTAATAGAATTATGTATTATTCGAGGCTTTTTGACTAATACTTTTTTTTTTTTATGAAAAAAAGATTATGAAAAACAATTCAAAACGTGCGTAAAAAAGTCTTGATCATACTGACAATGGTGGGAAAAATTTTTCTCACGCAAAAATATAAGAAACTTATTCGAACTGTCGAGTGTAAGATATCGGATGTGGCTAAAATTCATCTCAAGACTTTGGTTTCACTCAAAAGCTACTTAGATGTTTCTGGAAACTTAGTTAAAAAATTACGAGCATTAATAATTTTAGAACTAGTGTGGTCTCAACTTATATGCTATGGAAATTGAAATATTTGTGGTAGTGTTGCACCGTAAATCGTCTTCTGTACCAGTTAAATCGGAGAAAATGGAATACATGTCTTTATGCAGGAATATATTATATATTCTTTGTTTGAATACTGATTTTTTTTCAAAAACCTTTGTGTTTCACCATAACCTACAATGATGCATATTACAAGTTCATAAAAACCTCACCAGTTTAAGTTACACGTGTTAAAATACATGAATGTTGGTACGTCAAATTTTTGCACAATTTTTATAACTAATGCATGTCATTATAAATAAGAAATATCTTGATTTGTTCCATTATTGGAAGAAATGTACTAGAACTATATTACTATTTATGGAGAAGCATGTAACATCTCACAAAAATGAAAAGTAACTGGAAATTTGGCTATTTTGTTCAGCTGTAAGACCGTCACACCCACTGTTAAGTTATATCTGTTAGAAAATTCATTCAAATTACCATATTTAAAAAAATGGCCCCTTTCAGGTTGAGGTACTGGACGCAGGCGACCCTTCGACCCGTGATTGCGAGCCCCCGAAATTTTTGCAAACGATTCCAAGCGATTCGATCGTCATGGAAGGTCACTCGTACGAATTGCAGGCACGTATATCGGGTACACCGCCATTTTCTATAATTTGGCTCAAAGATGGCCACGAGATCGTCGACAGCGACTACTACCGGCACGTCATCTACGAGGATGGTGGCGTTGCTTTGCGTTTCCTCAACGTTCACCCACTCGATGCTGGTGACTACACGCTAATTGTCAAGAACCAACACGGACAAGCTTCTTGTCGTGGTCTTTTCATCATTCAAGGTACTCATTATATTTCATTTAATTTTCATAGATAATGTAAATTAAATGGAACCTTCAGAATTCCAGTACTATTTTAATTCGCTTATAATCTTACCTTTAGCGAACTAAGTAAAAAAAAAATGTTTTTTTGAATTTTTCTCCCCAGACTACAAGAGCTCATTACCAAACACATCGTTGAAGTTTGCAAAAATACCGGTACCAGTTTTTGCGAAAAAAGGCGAAACAGCGTGTTTCTGCGCTCGAATCCAATGCGATCGGTCAATCGACATAGACTGGACCATTAATGGTAAAAGCGTACGGGAAGATTCCAGGTGTAAGGTCAGTATATTCAATATTTAGATACAGACGGTTATTAATTTGATGAAAAACTTCCTACATGAAAAAAAAAAAAAAAAAAAAACTGTAACATTACAGATTGAACGAGACGGCATGACGAGTATTCTGAGGATACCATCGGTAAGCCAGCGCGATTGCGGCGAAGTTCGTTGCATAGTCTCGATATCCCGAGGCCCGTCCATCAGTTCAAGTGCGCAGTTGCGTCTGAAGCCATCCTCACCGTCCAAACTTCGCGAAAGTTTCTTGAAAAATCTCGAGCCAAGATCCCGAAGTCTATCCAGAATAAAGGATGAAGGTAGCCAAAAAACAAACAGCTCGACGTCGAGTTTGCGGATTGACGGTAACAAGGAAAATGGAAAGAAGCGAGCGTCCAGCTTTACGCGTTTAACTTCGAGAACGCGAGAATCATCGATGGAAAGTGTTCGCGAAAAATCCCCATTGGTTAAACAGTTACCCAATGGTCTTTTGAGCGGCAGATCCTTTAGAAAGACAGTAAAGACAGATCAGACTCATCCTAAGGGTAATAAGGCGAGACAAGAAAATAAATCGAAATTCATTGACACGAAACCTATGGAAACCACTACGGAACCCATCAAAAAAGTTCACGTGAATATCAGGCCTGCTGATCGAGTGTCTGTACCAGAAATGGAGGTAGATGAGATTGACGAGAGCATTATCGATATTCTCGCGAAAGAGAACATAATCGTGCCGATCGAATCTAATCCCAGCAACGAAGAGGAAGAGGTTGTTATGGAGACTAACGAAAACAACTCCTCAAAAACAGCTCATCCTGTCAGAAAATCTAGTAGAGAACAAATTGTCTTGATCAATCGGATCTCAAGCACTAAGAACTCGCGATGTAGTCCAGACTTCGATATAATCGATTCTAAACATCACAATAACAACAACAACTTGAACAACAATAACAACAACAATAAACGAGAAGAAAAGTACAAACAGAGATTAGTGAAAGAGAACAGAACGCCACTGCTGAGATCCTACGATCGAAAACTAGAGAAACACATCGTGTCGGAGCCAAAGAAGAAGGTACTGACTGGTGGTCTCAACGAGGTGCCAGCTATGGTGATAAGACCACCTGATGACGTAGTCGCATTGAGAGGATCGACGATAGAATTAATGACCATTTACCAAGGCTATCCAGAGCCATATGTCAAATGGATGCGGGCGGTAAGTTTGTTTTCCGATAATTATCTTAAGTTGGGTTTAACCTTCGTCTTATCCACTTTGCCCCAGCATTTCGTGTAGTATGGTTTGTTGTTGAGGTCAAAATGTTACTTCTGCATGATAAATTCGTAAAATGTATTATTGATAGCTAATAAACGATAAAAAAGGTTTCATTAATAGAGTTGACATAATTCGATAAAAAAAAAAAAATTTAGTTGAAAGTAAAACACCAATAGTAAAATCAACGAAAACTTCCTAAAAAAACTGTGAAATTATTGGATTTAAATAAAACTTTTGTTTTCAAATGCTTTAAAAAGTGGCGGGAACGTAAGGTTTGTTACCGTAAGGAAATGTACTACTCAAAGTGAAACAAACCTAGTGCTTACGACTTGACTACGACTCTTTCCTCTCATGCTAGAAAAATATAGGCTATACTCTTCCTGAATCAAATGTATTAAAATAATACGATGTACTTACAATGCTACTGTACTCACCATAAATCTAAGTTGCCCTATCGGTGGTTTAGCATATGGTATTCCTTTGTATGCATAGTAATTGTAACCCTCAAAGCTGCGTTCCAAAACCCCCTTGAGTTTTCCATATTTTGTGTCAACGAATACAGCTTCTCCCATGTTTTTGAGCGATAGCAGACTTGTTACTCGGTAATCGCCAGTTCTATACTGACTGCTGAAGAGATTGTAACGCTTTTTATCATCCGTTATGTGCCCACTTAGGTTCGGAAGTTTTATATGACGCAACAGTTGTTTGATAATTTTTTTTTGTGCATGTTACCGTGTTTTATCATAATTACGTATATAAGGCACTGGTATTGACATATTTTGAATATCATCATTTTATTAAGTGTCGTTGTTGAAATATTACGCAGAAACACTAAAAATTTTTCTAGCCTTTTAGACGAAACTAGTATATATATCTTCACTAAATAAATACACTCTTAAAGTTTCAACTGCTCCATTATGTTATTCATTATTTTACCCACTAATTTTTTTTACTACTTTTAACTATACTTGCGTACTTGTGGTGCATAAATACTGATAGGNTAATGAGGACAATATTCATTTTAAACGATGATGCTAAAAAACATTTTTTTTTAGTATAAATTTTTTAGAAGAATCATATTTTAGTAAAAGTATTTTTTTAACCATGAATTTTATGTACTGTGATAGCGATTTGACGTGAGCAACCAATGAGTAATATCATTAAAACAGTGAGGCTAAATAGTTGCACTTCATGACTATAATTACTTATCATCCTTTTAAACAGTTGAATAATAACCTTACTTCAGTCTATAAAATAAAATAGTTTTTATAACTATTTTGTTTTCAAGAAAGACTTGGAGCATGGGAGCATAACTTGACCATGTCTTTTTTTCCCGCACATCAAACACTAAAGATTTAAATACAAGTACGACTTAAAAATTCATAATAATATTTATCAAACAATCTGAAAGTAATTACAGTGACAGGTTGAAAATATCTAGATTCCAATATGGTACCACAGGTAAAAACAGTGTTATTTCGAGATTTAAATACCAGAACAGAGATGCACGAGTTACAGAGAAATTACTAGAATATGAAATAGTTGTAGTGCACTTTTATATGAGTATGATATAATGACCGGCGTAAGTGGTAAACAAAAATACATTTGGTTAAACAAAAAATTTTTACTTTCGCTTCTAATTTTGTCTTAATTTAAAGTTAGACGTACTCGTACAAAGATGTACTTGTTGATAGAGACACTATGTCAAGGTTACAAAAATATAAGTTAGCAAGTTAAAACAACAAAACCCTGAATAGAAACTTTAGACAAACTGTAGTTGGTACTGAAGGCATGCGACAGGATACATCTAAAATCTGAAATATATGTACAAAAAATGTAGAGAAATTAGTACTCTAACGTATACACACAAAGTTAGTAATCTAGAAATAAAAGTACAAATAAAGTAACAAATACATAAAAATGAAAGGGATGAACTAAGACAATAATAAATAAAGACAGAAATCTAGAAATAAACATAATTAATTTTAAGAGATAAGATGAAAACAGGCCATCGATAGTGGCACAAAGACAAAGAGCATGGTAGGCATAAATCCTATGTCTGTGCTGTTGTACATTTAAAAAATTTTATTATACAAAGCTATTATTGAGGACTTCAGTTAGGGGTGCCCACCGCACTCATTTACCATAGATATACGTAAAAATGCTTCAAAATCGCTGAGGGCACCCAAGCCTAAGTTCTTGAATGTACTGAAATATTTATGTTTATATTTATAATTAGGCGAATTACAAATAAAAACTTATCACTAGATTTTCAGTCAAAAGTAGTGTGGTACAGGTTTTGATTTACAATTATAGAAACACTATTTTCTACAGTTATTTATGATATAACACCCATTTCTGGAACAATTTATTCTAGAGGAATAAATAATTAAAACAAGTAAATTAAAGTTATGAATCTGGTTTTTTAAACTTTATTTCTTAGAAAATGAATAGATACTTAAACAATTAAGTAACAATTAAGTAATTTTTCTACCACTATACGTATGTACATGTAAGAAATTGTAACAGAAAATTTCACGTATATAATAACTACATTCCAACGCAACTGAAATGAGTGTGTTTACGTAGTGTTTTTAAAAAAATCCCAGTAAGTCACATCGGTCAGAAAAGATCACATGATGAAACCGATAATGATATAAAAAGCAGCTTCCACGCGCTAACGATCAGTTACATGGAGACTGTTCGTTTGTTCATCTCGAGGAGTACTGATTTAAAATTCATTACATAGTGCGTCGGTAAGTTAAATGATCAACTAACTGATTTTTGGAATATAAAGCTCAAATTTTTAATAAAATTCATAATATTTACAAGAAATTACATAACTTGATAACTCTGTAGGACAAGGTTCTGTGTAATTTGTGCTTAAAATAAATCTATTAGATATCAAATAAAGAGCATTGAATGTTGCACAAAAACTTTTTCCTATATTTCTTTTTTAGTCCATTAGTAATGCATTACAAATTCAAACAACATTTAAAAAGTACTAGCAANAGAAAAAAAGTAAAACTTTTTTTGCCGTCTATAGACCAAAAATATAAAGCTTACATTAGAAGTACTAGTTTTTGCAACGCATAGCGTAAAAATTGCAAGTTAAACAGTTTAGAAAGTAGACGGATGAAGATGAGGCACCGATAAATTCCCTAAGATCCCAAAACGACCTTGCCATGTCACTTAAAAAACTAAACGAAAGTTCGCCTCCGTTTACATACGCGTCGAGAGTCGGCTAAAGCTGCTTTTGCAAGCTCACCAAGTGCCGGCCCAGCAATAAAACAGTATAAAAAGACGCGGCCTGGCTACTCGACGCAGCTGACACTCGATCTTATACTATAATCGAAATAATAGGCAGTTGACAACTAACGCCCTCTGAAAATAACTAAAATCGATCTCTTTGGAGAACATCGTAGATCGGATCAATAATTTTTTCACATAAGATTTTAATATTTTGTAATCAAAAATTAATTTTCTTCAACTAGTAAATTTTCCTTTCAGATACCACACTTCTCTTGCAAAATAAAAATGAGAAACAGCGGTGGAAAAAATACTTTTATTATTCTAAAAGAGATCAAGTTAGCGTATCTAAAGGTGAATTGACTCAAACAAAAAATTTTTTGGAACCACGATCGCTGGGGTCATTTGTCTTATCATCATAGCAATTATTGTATACTTGTGTAACAGATAAAATTCAATTTTATCAACAATTAGAAGTGCATCTTTTTTATCCGGCAACGCCATACGCAACCGGTCCAATAAAACTGCTTACACACTAGTACACTGTACACAAATACTCGGGGCACTGGAGTGTTTATGAAAGTATGCGTCAGCCATCAAAACTGGAAGACCATAGATATATATATATATATATGGACATTCATTTTGCAACTCTTTATCGTCTCTAGTATTTAAATGAGTGGTCTTGATAAAATTTTCATATCACATTTTATCTCTCGTATGGTAAAATAATTTTCCGGTGTAAGAGGAATAGAATTATTTCTTCATAAAATTCAGTAACAATGTTTCGCTACAACAAACAAATAAAATCTTGTGTTATCGAAAAAATAGAGATTAGTCATAGGATGTCATCGATTTCCAATGACTCGTTGAAATTCATTCGCTCCATCGTGTGTTGTCGTGCTGCGCTTCAGATTTATCAGTAGTAAGACACGTAGATGGCTACATGAGCGTGCAGCTGCAGGGTGTAGAAGTGTGCAAGTGATAAACTCACACTACCGCAATCGCTGTTACTTCATCATCGCGTGGCTGATTAAAATCACGCATTAATCGATCGAACAGCGGAACAAAGGTTTTTCAGCTTGCATACCCCAGTCGGGAAGTCTCGAACAACTTGTGTGATTTTTAATCGATGATTTTATATTTTTTATACTTTTGGAGCCAAAGTTATAGTTATTTACGTATACATCGTGATGTAATAGGTTGAAAAAATCATGGATGTGATATACTTTTTGGGGATTGGCTTTAAAGTATGTCACGTAAAATTATCAAAGTGATTTTTCGTACTCGTTACGCAACAGAACGAACGAAATGAGATCAGTTGCGAAAGCGTACACAAATTTTTTTATTTATTCTCGAACCAAACAACTCGCGATTTTTTATAGAACTGCTCGCATGAATTTATTTATGCGTGGATAGTAAAAAGTTTCGCAACGGTAGCTAGACCTCATTGTCGTCGTCGACACTGAGCTGCTGCGGCTCCATGAAAGCACCAGCTGTTTGCTCGGATAAAACAGACCACTGTGTGTCGTCGACGCTAGACATCGGCCTGGTGGCAGCGTTGTTCGTGGACGGATTGCACACGTCGGCTGAATGACACGTCGTTTTATCAATGAATTGAAATATGTTATTGCCAATTGAAATTGATAATTATTCAAAGGATACATTTACTTCTTTAAGGTTGATTTATTCAG